AGCCACCAAGCGTTGGTGCCTCAGAGGGGGTATACCTCAAACAACTACCTCACACTACACCGCCCTTACCAACCAACTGTACCAGGCAGAGTTCGCCACAAGAAAGGGAAGCAGAGGGCCCAGAGCTCAAAAATGACTCCTCAGCATCTGAAAACAACTGTCAGGCAACAAAGGGCAAAAATACCTGGCCCTCGGAGAGTGGCTACATCAGTCCAGCAGCCCAGGGATGTATGAGGGACCTCTCCACTCTGGCAAATAGAGGAGCTCTGCCTGAAAATGGAATGGTGGTTGAAGTACCCACTTGTGGATCAGAAGGGAAGGGCCTTGGTGGTAGTGGTACAGAAAAGCCACTCTGCCCCAGAGGTAAAACATTGCAGGAAACCATTTCGTGTTCAGGACAGAACCCAGCTACACCTCCCAATGCAGACCCCAATTTGATGGAAAGCACTGTCAGTCAGTTTTCTCCCTTGTACATGCCTGGCCTGGAATACCCAAATTCAGCTACACATTATCACATCAGTTCAGGCCTACAAGGTCTTGGCCCTGTGATAGAAGGTAAACCCTCAATATCACATGTTCAGCATTTTTCCCCGAGGGGCTTTCATTCTAACAGCCCTCATTCTGGAGTCTTTCCCCGTTATCGCCCCCACCAAGGAATGAGATATTCCTACCAGCCACCACCTCAGCCTTCCTACCATCACTATCAGCGAACTCCTTATTACACATGTCCACAGGGCTTTTCTGATTGGCAGAGACACCTTCATCCCCCAGGAAGCCCAAGTGGGCTCCCACCTAGCCAGCCTCCCCCTCCAAGACCCCTCTTCTCGGATAAGAATGCCATGGTTAATCTACAAGGCTGTGAGACACTAAATGCTGCCTTAACTTCCCCAACCTGCATGGATGCAGTGGCTGCTAAGGTCGGTGCAACTGATGGGCAGAATCCTGGTCCAGAGGAAGAGAAGCCAGATGAATCTATGGAGAGGCCAGAGAGTCCCAAAGAATTTTTAGACCTGGACAACCATAATGCAGCTACCAAGCAACAGAGTTCATTATCAGCCAGCGAGTATCTTTATGGGACTCCGCCTTCACCTCTGAGTTCAGGGATGGGGTTTGGTTCATCTGCTTTCCCACCTCAGGGTGTGATGCTACAAACAAGGCCTTCCTATACACCTCACCAGCCGGCCAGTCATCTCCAGCCCAGGGCATATTCTTCCCCTGTGGCTGCTCACCCACCTCACCATCCAGTGGCTGCCCAGCCCAATGGCCTCTCTCAGGAGGGCCCCATCTACCACTGTCAGGAAGAGGGCCTGGGCCACTTTCAGACAATAATGATGGAACAAATAGACACTGGAAGTGGAATAAGGGGACCTTTTCAAGAAACATACAGACCATCAAG